AATTTATTTTCAGGGATATATGTTGAAGGATAGATGGCGAGTTGATTCAGAATCCCATATATGTGACTTAGAACAAGGTTTCTGTCAATCTCTTATAGTTGCTTCATTGATGTTGACTCTATTTTGGACAAACTTCACCAATTCATGATCCTAAATTGGTTTCCAGGAGGTCGGAGAGTTATATGCATCCTCATTCAAGAAACAGCAAAAAGAAACATCTGTCAACATACTCAGGAAAAAGATATTTAAGTGTTACTTTGATTGAATTAAATAACTGCCACTTCCAAACTGGCCATTATCATTAGCAGAGATGGTACCTTCAGATTGGCCTTGCCAATCAGGGCTCACCTCTGGGGAGGTGAGGCCAGTTCCTTCTAAATCATAAAGCTGAGAATGGAGGGAAAAGGTAGGTTTTGAAAGAAATTCAGGCTACTTCTCCAAGCAGGAAGAGAAATGGATGCAGGGCAGTCAATAGCAGGAATTCATTACAGATATTTCCTATTTACTCTTTTAGAAAGAAGTTCAAAACTTTAACCCCAAACCACATATTTTCTGTATGTTACCTAACACATATGATTAAGAAAAATCATCTCACAGTATTTATTTATTTACTTTAAAAAATATTTTTTAGTTGTCACTAGACCTTTATTTATATATGGTGCTGAGAATCAAAACCAGTGATTCACATATGCTAGGCAAGCACTCTACCACTGACTGAACCACAACCCCAGTCCCTATATTTATTTTAATAATCACTACAGAGAATTTGCTATAAAATTGGTAATAATACAATTATTATTGTATTATTCAAAAGAAATCCTAATGACTTCTGAAATCAAACACACTTTAGCTGATATCCCTATTTTAGTGTGCTGTCTAAAAAACATGACACTCTAATTGTTGTCAGACCACAAAAACATGTATTGAAATGGAATGGCCATCTTTACAAAGCATGATACCCATTGCTTTGGGTATCTGATCATAGTTTCTGATGCACAGCTTCAAGTTGTTCATTTTTTGGCTTGTCTTTTAGTACTCTACAGTCATGTTCTGGTTTTTCCTTTGCCAACCTCTCCCACCTCCATCCCTTCCTAGACTCAGAATACTTCTTCATGATAAAGTTTACTTTTCCGAGGCTGGGGTTGTGGCTCTGTGGTAGCAACTTGCCTGGCACGTGAGAGGCACTGGTTTCAATCCTCAGCACCATAAATAAATAAGATAAAGGTACTGTGTCCATCTACAACCCCCCAAAAATTAAAAAAAAAAAATAAAGTTTACTTTTCCTTTATCAGTTGAAATCCAAGAAGAGCCCACGGTGAAATACATCTTCACAGTTCACTTACTACCTTAGCTATTTGCAACCTGTCCTCAACTTCTATAAATCGAATCTGCTTAAAGTTACCAATAGCATCAATATTCAAACTACCAAAATATTTACATGGTTGATAACATACTTTTTAAGTTTGCTTCTCCTATCTGATTGGTCTTCCTATCACCCCTAGCCATGTCTCTGTACTAATTACTCGCACTTCTCTTTTATGGAATAAAACCCCAATAGGTTTAGTAAGGTTCAGAGTTAGCCACTGGCTGTGTGTGTGTGTGTTGCTGGAGATTGAAATCCCAGGGCCTTATGCATGCAAGGCAAGCACTCTACTAACTGAGCTATATCCCGAGTCTACTGGCCCAAGTCTTGCAGCTCACTTTTTCATTTATTATACTGACAACTTACTGCTCAAGACAGGCCACCTCCACTTCCTGCTTGCTACAATTTTCTTTAGATTTCCTTTATAATCTTCCATCAAGGCCCAGTTTAAATATTTTCCCTTTCATGAACCCTGTTCTAGTTCCCTCAAACTGTAAATCACCACCTCTGACTTGATCAACCATGTCTAAGGTTGATCTTTTTTTTTTTTTTTTAATTTGTTCTACTTAGTTGTACATGACAGAAGAATGCATTTCAATTCATCATACACAAATGGAGGGCAACATTTCAATTCTCTGGTTGTACACAGTATAGAGACACACCATTTGTGCAATCATACATGTACCTAGGGTAATGATGTCCATCTCATTCCACCATCTTTTCTATCCCCATAACTCCTCCCCACCCCCCACCCCTTCACCCAATCCAAAGTTTCTCCATTCTTCCCATGTCCCCCCCACCCATCACAGATCAGCATCCACTAATCATAGAAAATATTCGGCCTTTAGTTTTTTGGGATTGACTTACTTCACTTAGCATAATATTCTCCAACTCCATCCATTTACCTGCAAATGCCATAATTTTATTCTCTTTTAATGCTGAGTAATATTCCATTGTGTGTGTGTATATATATACATATAATATATATTTATTACATATTCTTTATACATTCATCTATTGATGGGCATCTAGGGTGCTTCCACAGTTTAACTATTGTGAATTCAGGTGCTATAAACATTGGTGTGGCTATATCACTATAGTATGGTGATTTTAAGTCCTTTGGGTATAGATTGAGGAGTGGGATAACTGAATCAAATGGTACCACCAACTCTCGACTAAACACCTGTAACCTTCCTAACCAGTATCCCTCTTCTTGCCTGTCTCCTAATTATTTCTCCAGTCACCAGAATGATTTCTCAGACAATCTAAACTTCTTACCATGGCCTACAAGATCTGGTTTCTGTTAAAGTTTATTTGTCCAAGAACTGTTTTAAATTCTTTTTTGGGATTAATTCAATTAATCCTGTCAATAATCCTATGGCTCATCTAGATCCCTTTTACAGGGCTGGTGCATTTGTACACTAGTTGCTACAGGTGTTGGCTGCCAACAGTTTTCCACCCTTATTTGGAGGACTGCCCYTACTCTTCTTTCCCTTCCTTATCTGTTTTCTTTATTCTGTTATAGAATTTTCCTAAGAGTACTCCTTCAGTCATTTGCCCAAGAATCCCCATCTCAGGCACTGCTAGAGGAACTGATCTGAGACTTAATTTCACAGATGAGAAACCAAGAGGCAGGTGAAATGATCTGCCTTAGGTCAAACAGAAAATTAGGAGGTTGAAACTTGAAGCTAGTCTGATTTACCAGCCTGCACTCTTTCCTGCAATGCTGTAATGGTACTTCTCCAACCTCCCCTCTCTCATTTATCCTCTAGTCAAGTTAAGTCTTGCCTGAGGGCCTTTGTAATTTCTATTCTGACTGCCTAGAATAGGTTGTCTCTATTTTCTTGTAGTTTGTTTCTCCACTTCTTTAAAAATGTTYCAAATATTACTTTCTCAAAAAGACCCTGCCTGACACAAACCATCCTAAGAAGCCAATACTATCCTCAATTCTGTTTTCATTTTATTTGCTTTCAACACCTGAAATTATACACAGATTTGTTTTTTGACACTTATTCTAAAATGAAAATCCCGAAGGCAGGAATGTTTTCTAGCTGATTTACCACTACATCCCTGAAGCCTGGTAACTGGCACTCAGTAACAGGTAGTTGATAGCTATTTGTTGTTGAATGAGTGAAGTAAGATCTCCTTTCTCAGACCTCTTATAGAAACTCTCTGTAGAAATTTCTTGAATGTTCTTAATCTAGAACTGTAGTTATTTAATGCAAATTTTATTATGTAAGTTTATATGCTCTTGGAGGACAAGAATTATGATCTATTAATTTGGGAATACTCGGCAGGATTCAAATGACGGTACCTCTAAAACTCCAAATATCAACTACAGCTTATCTTTCCATATAGGTATTAATATTAGGATTTCATATGAATACAATATAATCCAAAATATGAAAAAAAATGTCATGCTTAATTTATAAAGCATTCCTATGCATGTTACAATATGGATTAAATACAATTAGGTACTCATCATTTCATCTTTATTTTAAAAACAATGCCATTTCCAAAATATAAAAAATAGACCTATTTTCAAAGAACCATTAAAATATGGCTTTGAAAACCATAATATTTTATTTACAACAAGTAGATGGTAGTGCAATAGCACACAATCATGTTTATGATAAATAAAGTGTCAGTATTATTCTGGCATCTTTTTGGGGTAGGCTTTTATACCCCAAAGAGAGTTAGAATGACCTCAACAAGTAAAGATCAATAATAGTCATTAATGTAATGTATACTTCAATATGAATTAGAGTGACCAATGTAGATTGATCATTTATTTGGGAACTGGATCCATACATCTGGAAATTAAAGTAGAAATTTAAAACTTCTCCTTTTTTTTTTTTTTTTAGTTTATTAACAAACACATCCCAAATACTCCAGCATTGGTAAAAGGGAATCTACTGAGCATTTCTCACAAGTGATTCATAGCCACACATGCTAAACAATGGCTGTCATAGCAGACCCTAGAAGTTTAGATTTTATAACTTTAAACTACATTAAGTATTTATGTCCCACACCAAGAACTAAGTCCAGGATTACGTTTTAAATTATACTAGAGCCATGGGGGAAATAATGAGCAATATAATGACAAAAAATGTTAGCTATTTCTCAGAATATTACATAATTCCTCAAATTTCTACAGTTGGTGTGTTCCAAATGAATTAAAACTAAAGCATGTTTACAATGGACTTTTCTAAAATATCCCCACTTAAAAAGATCTGGATTTGGCTAACACCTTATTCAGTAAATTCTTAACACCTTATTCAGTTAATTGTTAAAGTTTAATTTACCCTTGAAACAAACAACATTCTTTTAAGAAGCTGTTTTCTTGCTATTGCACAAGGTCATTTTAAAGTCAATCCAGGCAAACAAGATCAGAAAAAGCAGCAGATTTCTCTAATCCATTTAGCAAATGTTGCAAATTAGTTTCTACTTGAACAATCAAACAGAGAAATGTCTGAAACTCTACAGTTGGTGTCAGTTTTAACATGTTGATGTCAGCCATGACAGGTAGAAGTAGCCAAGTCCCATATATATGAAGAAGCAGAAATGATTGTGAAGACTTAGCAGCTCTTCTAAAGATTAAAGACAGATTATGTTTATGAGCCATTTTGCTGTGTGGCATTCTTCTGAGTTTTATGTCTCAAACACAAAGGAGCTTGTTGCTGTCTTGGGCAAACATACTGAAATTACCTTTCTTTCTTTCTTTTTTAGCTTACTTTCTTGTCTCTAAGGCCAAGTAAAAAATGTGAGACATTTTCATATACCACAAAGGTAATACAGCAGGCTGGAGTCACTCTAATCAAATTGGGGGCAATTCCTTTGTAAAATCCACCGATGCCTTCTTTCCTTTAGAGGGAAAAATAGATATATGCTTAATTTCCTAAACAGCAAGCCAGAAAAGACAAATTTTAACTGAGACAGGACAGGGAGTAAATAGTCAAATCTTGTTCTGATTTAAGTAAAAATATAGTTTGTAGCCATTTGTAGGGGCCTACATTCTTTTCATAAACTGACTAAGAAAGGGGTTGGGAACACCTCAAAACTGAATTGGAAAGTGCTTTCAATTAACCATCTTTGAAATGCTTTTACTTGTACGGATATGCAGCAGTTTTAACTGATCTACTGTAAGCATTAAAAATCCCATAGCTTATATAAATGCCCACAACAGTAAATATAACACATATAAAAATTTATTTCCTTGATGCCTCCAATATGGAATAAGGCCTAGGAACTTATCACTTAGGTTCTCATTCAGTATTTCTTGAATTGAACTCAATTTACCATTATAAATATTCTGCTCTGGCTTTTTAGAATTAAAGGTAGATAACAGTTTATTCTCATAATGAAAAGCAAACATCTCTTCCATACTGGGGCCTTCTAAAATGTATTAAACTAAGTTTTACACATTCAATGCCAAATATTTACAACACCTCAATTTTATTATTTTTTCATGTATCTCATTTTTTTTTTCCTTGAGATGAGGGTCTTGCTGTGTTGCTCAGGCCAACCTCTTAATTCACAATCCTCCTATCTCAGTCTCCCAAGTAGCTGTGTCACCACCTCCAGATCACATTTTATTTTTATATCCATCTTGTCAGACTATTTAGTCTGTTTACAAATGAAGAAATCAAGTCTCAGAGAATTAAGACCATGCCTACACAACAGTAGTAGTTAATGGGAAAGCAGCAACCATTAGCCATATTTTTTACCACAGCAATTTGGCCTTTGTTATACAACATGTACAGAATAAAATAAGTAAGGCACTTCATCACAACAATTCTGATATTCTGCACACTCACCTCCATGTCTTTGCAATTACATCCGTTACACCATTATAAAACATGTGTTGATCCTGAAGACGGGCTCTCACAACTTGATATGGGTATGTTGCTGCCACAGCAAATATTTTGGATAGTGCAGCCACAGATATATATTCTACTGTGCTCTAAAATGCCAACACAAAACATTTACAGACAGGACTTCTTTAAAAATATAGAAATAAAAACTATAAAGGACAAAAATATTTAAATAAACCTTTAAATGAAAAATACTGTTTTTCCTCTTTAATGCAAACTCTATGTAATTATGTGGTTTCACTTTAAACATATGTGTATCATTAACTTAACATATAACTGAATATTTAAATACAAATTAAATTAGTAGAGTCAGTATTCATTATCACAGCAATACTACCAAAGTACGCATGACAAAATTTCCATCTCTTAAATGCCTATACAAGTAAATGATATCATTTTTACAAGAATCATCTTACCAGTTGGGCTTCCGGTAATCTATTGATATGCTGGTTATATTTCAACTTTAGCAATTCATATGCCATAAACTGAAGGGCACCATGTGAAGTTCCAAACAGCCCAGGAATAAATCCCTAAAAGGGAATAATTAAAAAAGAGCAAAAACTAAACAACTTTCAAAGAAAGATACATTTAAGTCAAATATATTCTCTCTCCTCTTAAGTGTAGTACTTTAAGCAAAATTTTATATAAGGTTAAAATACTATTCTTTTACTTTATTTTTTAATTTACGATTTGGATTTTTGCCCAGCATAGTGGCATAGGCCTGTAATTCCAGTAAATTGGGAGGTTGGGATAGGGGGATTGCAAATTTGAGGCTAGTCTCAGGAACTCAGTGTGGCCCTAAGTAACTTAGCAAGACTCTGTCTGAAAAATAAGTGGGGGGGGGGGGGCTTGGGATGTAGCTCAGTGGTAAAGCCCCCTGGGTTCAATCCCCAATACTGTCTGCCCCTCCCCACCTGCCTCCAATATGGATTTTCATGTTAGTTCTTCTTTAAACAGTACATGTATAAACACAAAGACAATGCACACCATCAAGAACCAGGTATGAGCAGGCAGTTAGATTCTGGAAAAGTGAAAAAGAAAAGGTAATGATAATTCAATTAAGTAAGTACAGATATTCTAAAAGAATAAGGCAAAAAAGTGATGGAGGAAACACAGAACTGATTTATTTCCAAAACTTTTGCTTATAAGTCAGTAGTCTATAACAACCACCTCATGTTATTGATTTTAAAAACTAGTACATGATTCTTAAAAAAACCCCTAAAATTGAATAAATCTAATTTTGATTTTAAACTGTGGATGACTGAAAAATAAGTACTGTGGGAACTAGGTGTGGTGGCATATGCCTATAGCTTGAGATAATCAGGAGCTTGAGGCAGGAAAATCACAAGTTATAGAACAGCCTGGTATACAGTGAGACCCTATCTAAAACTATAATTTTTAAAAAAGAGCTAGGTATGTAGGGGTATGTAGCTTAGTGGCAGAGCACCAGTCTATCATGTATGAAGCCCTGTATTCAATCCCCAAAAGTGTGGGGGAAAAATTTATAGGAATAAGACACAGGTGGGAATGGATGATAGAGAAGCATAAAATGGGGGAAAAGGAGTTATAAAATCAGAAAACAGATGTTAATGCCACTAGTAAGATATTTTGAAATTATAACAATAGGCAAGGGAGTAAGGTTTTTGTTATTTAAAAAATTCAAGTAAGGTTTGAAGTTTGTACAATTTACAGTAAAATAAGATGCTATCAAACTCACTTATCTCTTCTCCAGATATGTTATCCCAACTTGGCTGTCTGACTTACTGAAAAGACACCTGACGAAGTTTTAGACAATTCTCAAACCCACCAGTGTCATGATGATAGAGAATAAATAGCTTAAAATACAATTTCAATATTATAAGTTACATTTGAGTTTTCATTCAATTGTATCTTGCCTAAGGGAGGCTTCTTTTTAGGACTGAATCCAGGTCATTCAGAAGAGAAACAACAGAGCCAAGAGAAACTGCAATTTTCAGTTATGAATATATATATATTGATGACTCATTACCTTATACAATCCACGCACACCTTCATACTTATATATTTTCACAAGTGCATCAAACATTCCTTTATATTGCCGCTGTGAGGAGTTAACAACACCTTCATACTGTAACATAAGGCGAGTTTTTGTTACCCATAATGGGTTTGTAATGCAGAGGGTCATGGCTCCTAAAATCAAATTTAAAGAAGATTACTCAGCATACAGGTGTTTTTCTACTTAATTCAAACTAAAATACAGTCCATTATGTAAAGGAGGAGGTTACCTAGAAGCTGTACCTGGAACGGCAAGATGTGGTCTTTTTAGGGTCAAATCGTAGACATAATTTTTGAGAGTTCTAAAAAAATTCCTCATGTGGGAGTGAGAGGTAAGTTAAGAGGGAGACAGAAATGAAAAACACTTCGGGATAGCAAAGATGCCTTGACTCCTAACCAATGTGGCCTGGTATAGAAAATAGATGGAAAGGAGACACAGATTTTAGGAGCAGAAGACAGTATAAACCAAAGGGGCTGAAGGTAAAAAGGAAACCAGGAACCCAGCATCTCAATAATCTGTGCATGTACACACATATGTCCAACTCTTTTATCACAATCTTTCCCAGACTCATTCAAAGTAGCTACTCCCCCTCAAAAACTGTGTGATGCAATAAGTCATAACTCACATTCTTCACTGAAAATCACAACTTTTACAGAGAAAAAACTAACTAGGCAAGTTTCTAATCTTCTACATTTCTAAGGAGACCTTTATTAAACCAATATTTGTTGAGTCTTGTTATGACTCTGCTAGCAGCTAGTTATTAAAAAATGAGTGAAATAGTCCTTGCTTTAAAAAACAATCAGTAAACATTAAGAAACCAAGGTAGCAAGGTATCAAAGTAGGATTTATAAAGATTTATGGGTCTCACTTTGTTCTCTTCTCTAGATAGTACACAAATATAAGTTGATGAAATGAGGCTACTAAATTGAATACTTACAAAGTTGAACTTATACTTAAAAAAAATATACCAAATCATCTTAATCTATTAGGGATTCATAACTTTTTTCATTTTTCCACCCTTTGTGATAAGTACAATTTTTGAAATCCAGAGTGATCAATAAGGACAATCCTAAGAAATATTATGTGATAACTAMTTAATATACTTAGATAAATTTACTTAAATTCTGGTGTCCAAAGAAAAAAGACAAAAAATAAAAATAGAAAACAAGTTTGGAAGGTGATGTTTTATATTTCACACATTGCCTTACCAGCTTCAGCAGCTGAGATGAGGTATTCTGTTGCCTCTAACCGTTCAGCTCTTCCTTCTGTTTTATATGATTTGATGGCATTGTAACTGAAAGAATTAAACATGAGCAGTTTAATTTAAATAGATGTCTTAAAACAGTAAAATCTGTTTTAAAGAATATGTAACTTAATGGCACTATCCCCAAAGTAAAAGTCAATGAAAAATACAACTACAAAATGAGATCTTATTTTAAAAAATGGACATGACAGAAATGGTTTACTATAGGATTACACCACCTCTCTCCAACAAATATATATGGCTGGCAATACATATGTAAAATATTTTAATCACATATTCAGCAGTTAATTTAAAAGGACAAGAAAACGGGGAGTATGGAAAGATGTAACTGTGATGCAGAGACTGGGAAGAAAAGGCAAAGGAGAGTCCAATTTGTGCTTAACAAATATGTGTGCTAAGCATCTATGTTTAGGAACTTCCTTTGCTTTCTGACAGATAAACATCAAATATAGATCTTTCTTAATAGATTAACAAGGATCATAAGTGGCATACAAATAAACACAGTAAAAKACATAATAAAATGATAATCATAAGAAAAGACACAGTAAAATAAGAGATCCAGAAACTAAGAGATCACAGAAGGCTTTATGTTGGAAGTGGCACTGAGCTGTGTATTCAGATGGGCACAGTTCCAATAAGGAAAGAGATGAGCATGGGGAAAAGTGACAGTAATAATAAAGTAGATGGTAAGATAGTAAAAACTGAACCTCAATCGAGTAACAGAGATTTGGGTTTTATCTGGCAGAAAACAGTCACTAAACATTTCATTGCAGGGGAGTCAAATCAGGCCTGTTTTTTCTAAACACAAATTTTATTTTCCTCTGAGAAGGATTCAGTTGAATCAATATTTTCAGGTTTTCCCAACACAATTCTAACATTAAACAAACTTTTATTATAAGCAATTCTCATCACATAAAGCTAACTCATATGGCTTGTTCTTAGAAACTCTCTTGGACAATATACAGAAATCAAATTCATAAAGTATTCTTTCCGGGCATGGTGGCACAATACCTGTAATCCCAGATACTTGGGAGGCTCAGGCAAGAGGATCACAAATTCAGAGCCAGCCTGGGAAACTTAGAGAAATCCTGTCTCAAAATAAAAACTTAAAAAGGCTAAGGATGCAGGTCAGTGGCAGAGCACCCAGGCTCAATCCCCAGTACTATAAAATAAAAACAAGCCCAAACATATACGTGTGCATATATCCATACAGTTTACCTGAATATGTCTTTGGGGTGAAAATAAGAAAAACTTTTAAACAAAACAAAGGCTGAATTTTAGTTTGTTTTCACTTTAAAAATTTATTTTAAGATTGGTTTGGATACTGCCATTAACTTATGAGATTAAGTACAATATATAACACAAAGGAGAAAAAAGGAAAGACACAGGTGTTGATGTTTTCCTAAAAATGTCCTCTGTTAAAAGAAAGAAAAGCTTTCTCATTCGTAGATTCAGTCTCAAATATCAGAGGCAAGCTCTCAGCTACATGTGCTTCTCCACAGCAGTGCCATGTTGCTCCCTCCTTCTTATACACTCAACAAGATGAATATACCTGCCATAGGCTCTTTCTGTGGCTTCTTCAGAAGGCATGCAATAGAAGTTATTTCTAATAGTGATGCTATCTGACTGGTGAAGGAGTAAGAAAATGAAAATGAACATGCTGGGAAGATGGAGCAGGTCACATAAGCGTATAAAGTGATATGCTTCAAAACCTTTTAGCTCTTGCTTTCTTTTCTTGATCAGGCTCTTAAGTTATATGTTTTTAAGGACTCCAAATCTGCCTTTTCTTGCCTTTCCAAGTTCATTATGAATCAAAATGCATTTCTGGGTTTCTTTCTTTCTTTGATACTTTAGTGAGGTAAAGTACCCAGGGTGCTTTACCCCATTTTTTTTCTGAGACAGAGTCTTGCTAAATTGCTGAGATTGGCCTCAAACTTGCCATCCTCTTTCCTCAGCCTCCGGAGTCATTGGGATTATAGATATGCGCCACCACACCCAGCAAATCAAATACATTTCTGTAAGTCATCTCAAATATTTCAAGAATCTGTCTGAGCATAAATAAGCAATGATGTCAGGATACTTTTTAGTATTTATAAAATATTCTATTTTAGTATTTATAAAACTTTCTAATCTTGTATAAGTGGAGGAAAAAGTTATCTTCTTTTATAAAAAATAAATACCAAAGAGAACTGAAATTCATGATTCATTTTAGACAAGAGTTCCAGGTTCCTCCAATCTCTGCAATACTTTGCAAAACTACTAATAAATAACAAGTAGGTATATTCAACTTTTTCTAGTCTATTTTGGCTGTTAGAAATGCTCAAGAGTCCTGATATGGCCCAAACACCTCAGAAATTCTGAGGGTGTCTTAAAACTTCATTTTGAATTGTCCAAATTAGATGTTTTTCAAATGGCTTTAACTAAGATAAAAAGTTCTCTTCTAATCTGTGAGTATTCTGCTTATAAAAGAAATCAGTTAAACATCTTGCCCTCCTGAATTCATAAAAATGGCTTCTATAAGGGTTTCCCATTTCATTTCTTCATCCTTTCCTTTACAAACTTTCTTCTAGACCAAATGCTTCTGATTATAATAGCTGAAAGCAAAGGAAACTAATAAGCCATTTGCTAGATCCTTCCAATTTCCAGAACTGACTCAATGACTCATCTTTCTTCATTAACCAGTATAAAAGCCACCAAAACAAAAATTCCTTTTTATTTAATACTGTGAAATCTCCCAGATCTACTCACAAGAAAAAGTAGAGTCCCCAGGATAAACCTGCACCCCAAACATTTGGAGTTACTCCTTGATAAAGTCCCCGAAGTCCATCAAGTTTCCAAATGGTAGTCAAGCAATGTAAAATTCCTTTATATTTTGGTCTCAGTTCCAATCCATCACTCACTGCATTAAAGGATACACAAAAATTCTAGTTCAGAATCACATATAAACATAGATTCATAAATTAGCTATATAAAGAAAAAATTCAGAAGAAAACCCCTTATTAGGAAGGAAAAAAGTATTTCCTAGGATGTTCTACACTTTTAAATTAATGTTAATAAATTTATCAAAGTATTTATTGAGCACATACTAAGCACCCAAGTAATATTTTAGGAAGCATCAGATTGGCTATTAAACAATCCTCCTGAGTCACTGGGATTACAGGCATGTTGCCCGAACACCTACCTGTAGTTTTTTATACTGCTTTTTCCCTACTCAAAGAGAATATAGAAACATTCCCCCTTGCTTTTATGTAGATTCCAAAAATAAGACTTTAAAAAAATGTGATAGTTTTCCATTTCACAGACATTCTATCATTTAAACTATCATTCCCCAATTTTACATGTTAATTTTCTTTTTCTATTACAAAAAGTTCTCTAAAGAATATCTTGTATAACAGTTTGTATGGATTCTTTTTTTTTTTTGGTACTAAGGATTGAACTCAGGGGCATTTGACCACTGAGCCACATCCCCAGCCCTATTTTGTATTTTATTTAGAGACAGGGTCTCACTGAGTTGCCTAGCACTCACTTTTTGCTGAGGCTGGCTTTGAACTCTCAATCCTCCTGCCTCAGCCTCCTGAGCTGCTGAGATTACAGGTGTGTGCCACTGCACCTGGCTTGTACGAATTCTTACTTCTTTAAAATTAACTATTAGAAGGGGAATTGATATGGCCAGGCGTGGGTATAATCCCAGGATACCTGTAATCCCAGCAATTTAGGAGGCCGAGTCAGGAGGATCCCAAGTTCAAGGCCAGTCTCAATAATCAAGACCCTGTCTCAAAATAAAAAATAAACAGGGCTAAGGTTGTAAGGTAGAGCACCCCTGAGTTCAACCCAAATACACAAAAAGGAGAAGGGGAAATGATATGTTATAAATACATATTGAAATTGCCCTCCAAAGAGTTTACAGTTTATTAGCCACAAATAAGCATGCCCAGTTCAATGTACCCTTGCTTCTACTTTACTCTGTGTAATAAGCATGACAAAGAACAACCACTGGACTTGTGTTTCAGTGTGAGTATACACTGAATATATACTATTGGATAGCAATGGTAAAATTTATTTACTACTAAGAGTTGTGGTCAAAAAGTGCAAAATGTTGGCTGGAGATATAGCTCGGGAAAGAGCCTGCCTAGCAGCCACTTTGGACCCCACTGGGGAACAAAACTAACCAAATTATACAGTTAAATTGTGTGCATATACAAGTAAGTAACAACTAATTCCACTATTATGTATAATTACAATGCACCAATTAAAAAAAAATACAACAATTGGGCTGGGGATGTGGCTCAAGCGGTGGCGTGCTCGCCTGGCATGCGTGCGGCCCGGGTTCGATCCTCAGCACCACATACACACAAAGATGTTGTGTCCGCAGAGAACTAAAAAAAATAAATAAATATTAAAAATCCTCCCTCTCTCTCTCTCATCTCTCTCTTTCTCTTAAAAAAATTAATTCTGCAATCTGTATTTGGGGTAAAAATGGGAGTTCATAACCCACTTGATTCTAATGTATAAAATATGATATGTCAAGAGCTTTGTAATGTTGTGAACAACCAATAAAAAAAAAAATTAAAAGAAACCTCACTCATTATCTCCCTGTCTCCATCTTCAATATCTCCCTTCCTTTTATTTATTTATTTTTAAACCATCAGAATTTAAACAGGCTTAAATCTCTCTTGAGTTGCCTCGTATTTGATCTCACTGCCTCCGTATCAGTTTAGCTGCTACAAATGAGAAAACAACAATCCAACTTTCTCACCTCCATAGCAATCTAGTCTGGGCTTTACCTATTACTTCAAGGGCTCTAGTTAAGGACCTCCAAGTGCACTTTGGGAGTCCTCTCTTCCTTAAGAACCCCTTAGTGGCAGCTGACATTGTTTATCTTCTAAAACACCTCTTTGTGTTGGCTTGCCTCATCCCACATCCTCCTGATTTTCCTCTTCTTTGCCACTAAATTTTCCTGGCCTCCTTTTCCTCTGCCCATCCTTAAATGTTAGTTTTTATAGGCACTCTTTCTACTCTCAACTAAGTAAATTCACTGCTATCCCTGTGTTCCACTTTCTTGATCACTATCCTGATCTCTTTCCTAACATCCAGCCCTAGATACTGTTTTTACATGGCTTAACTTTCTGGAATTATTTTTTTACTTTCGTTTCTAGCATTTAAATTTTCCCTTCCACTATACCAAACTATGCACTCAGAGCTTCAGACTAATAACATATGTTATTGAATCAGACTTCCTAGGATTGAATCCTAATTGTTAACAATTATTGTGTGACCCTGAGTAAGACATGTGATTACTCTCATATCTGAGCTTTCTCATTCATAATATGAGGGGGGAAAAAACCCCAAAATAAACTCTAAATGAGTTAACACCAATTAAATGAGTCAGTATTAATGAGTTAATATATGGACAGTGGAGCTAGGGATATAGCTCAGTTGTACATGCTTGCCTAGCATGTGCAAAGCCCTGGGTTCAAGTCCTAGCACTGTTAACAGACACCCCAAACTTTTTTTTTTTTTGGTACCGCAGATTGAACCCAGTGGTGCTTAACCAATGAGCCATAACCCCAGCCTTTTTTTTTTTGTATTTTATTTACAGACAGGGTCTCACTGAGTTGCTTAATGCCTCACTTTTGCTGAGGCTGGCTTTAAACTCCTGATCCTCCTGCCTCAGCCTCCCAAACCACTGGGATTACAAGCCAAACAAACATTTAAAGCACCTGGAAACATGTCTAGAAAACTGCAAGTACTAAAAATATTAGTTTATTTATGCCACTGGTTCTTTCAATACCACATAACTTTGCCATGTGCTAGTCTTGTTACTGTACACTATGGTTTCTTGATTAGTATTACAGATTTATATTCTCCTTTCTTCCTACTTTCCCCTAAAAAAACTCACAAATCTTTACAAATGGGGTTATTTCAGGAAATTACTATTTTTAAACATTCTTATTTGCTGGGGTTCCTGCCATTTTTGAATCCTTAAAAATTATTTCATGAAGTTAGAACAGATCTCAAAGATCACCTAACCCAATCCTTCCACCCAACACAAAAATATCTTCTAATCTCTGTCTGAACCACTTCTATTCATCACCAGTTTTATTTCATAACACCATAATGTTGTCAGGCCAAAATCTGCTTCCCTATAATTTCCACTCAACTTATGTCTGACCTTAGGATCAACCCAAAAGGCAGCTCTCTCCCCCATGGAAGTTCTCTATCTTAAAGATTTTCCCCATTCCAAGCTAACCTAGTTTCTTCAGTTTTCTCACATGAAATGATTTCCAATCTTTCTGACTTTGGATATCTTGAAATTTCAACTCAYATTCAGAACTCATAAAAAAATTCCAGGTTTGGTTTAGTAGCACATACATTCAGGACTAAACTCCCATCATCAAATATTAACTTTATTTTATTTTATTTTTTCAGACATTAATTTTATTAAATGGTTTTAGTTATACGAAAGAATAAAAACCATGGGTTAGAGCATTGATGCTGATGACCAGATGCTGTATCTCCATTACTCATCTAAATTTTCCTCTTTTCTATTATATCAAAGCCACACTGTGGGCCTTATTATTCCTCTCAATACCCTATATGTAATAACCTACAMCCTACTAGTTTTCCACTACTCTCCCACTTCATCAAGATTACCATCTTCTCAAGATACCAAGAATTTTCTTCCCTCAGGTATAGTCTGCTTCACAGCATTGTCTTAAATTCGTCAACCAACAATACTATTTCTCAATGATCATCACAACTGCCATCCTTTCTGCTCCTAAACAAAGTTGCTGAAAAAAGACATCAAGTTATACAGGCCCACACCTGCAGCCAAGCCCAAATTCTTTCATTCACGTTCAAGCCACTGTATACTGGGATTCATAAAGGCAGTATGGTAAGTAGTTAAGTGCCAGAGGGTTCCATAATTGGACTCCATGGGTTCAAATTCCAGATCTACCTTTACATTCTGTGACATGGGCAAGTTAAGTCAATTTCAGTTATCCTCCACCTGTATAAGAGGATAATAAACTCACAGGATAGGGAACAAGAATGTATCTAAAGCTCAGGTAGGCATGGTGGCACACATGCCTATAATCCCAGTGGTTTGCAAGACTGAGGCAGGAAGATCTGAGATCCTGTCTCTAAATAAAATACAAAATAGGGTTGGGGATGTTGCTCAGCAGTTAAGTGCCCCCAAGTTCCTCCAATTCCCAGTACCAAAACAAACCGACCAACAAAGAATGTTTCTAAAGCTCTTAATTCATTGCCTTTCTTCTAGGAAATACTCCTAGCAAATGCTCAATGAAGATTAGCTATCAATAATAATCGTAACTATCTGTATAAGTATCAGAAACTCCATGAAATTATCCATAATTTTCACCGATTTTCCTTCATCAAATTGCTTAGTGTCTTCTTTCTGCCAAAGTATTAATTCTCCTATGGAGAACCTCAAGATCCAGTCTTGCATGGAACCTTTACAGATGCATATGGCCATCAGCAATTATGATTTTCTCATAGCCTATCTGTATTCCTATGTTGTATTTTGATTTGTTCTACTATGCCCTTGATTTTTGTTGTCTAGAATTATCTAACATTACTACTAAGTCTCAAGTCTTACAATTAGACACTAAGTTCCCTGAAGTCAAGAATTTTATAAAACACTTTTGTAATTAAGAGATACATAAGAAGTAAATAAAATACCTAGTATTACTGTAAGATAAATCAAAATTGCAAATCGAATGCTCAGGGCAGGACTTAACTTGTATTAATAACTGAAATAAAAGAAAACAGTTTCCAAATGAAGTTACCAAAATTTATTTTGAAACTATCTTTTACAGAATTTAGTGTTGAGTTTAACTTCTAAACTGCTAATAATTTGAAAGCAACTCCATTTTGAAAATCAGCACCTACCCTGCCAGGCATGATCTTCCTGTTAGGCCCACCCTCAATGACTACCCAACTACGGGAAACCACAGCAAAGGCGCCAAATAACAATCACAGGACCACACGTTATTTTTTAACTACTCCATTGTACCTGACTATAATAGTTTAGAAGTTTTTTTCAGCAGGCTGCTGCGCCTTGCAGAGGGCAGCCTGGCAGATATTCTCTGTCTTTGCTTGAACTCAGAGATGTGTGTCCAGGATATTTGCGCCAGTTATCCTAATACATATTCACTTAAACAAAAGAATATCTGGATCTGGCTATTTTTTCGTTCAAAGGACACTGTACCACACTGTACAAATCAAAAACCAAAGAAACTTTGAAGATAATTCTATCCCAAACTCTACCCCAAGCACCTGGTACTTTCCGTTCTGCTTCCAAACACGTGGCTGACCTATGATTTCAAAGTACCTCCTGGAGTGAATGAGTCGCCCTGTGACAGCCAAGTCCTAAACTGTCACAAGCCCATTTCCTCCCCCCCCCCACACACACTTTGCCCACATTCCCCATCCCTTTCCTCGGGGAGCGGGAAAGAGAGAGGCCAGGCCTTGCTTTCTCAAATCCAGTTCCTGATGAGGCAGCGTAAAAAGCATCTTCTTCAACGCTCTCCTCCTTGCAGTACAGAAGATACAAGGGAGAGGTCACGGCCCCTTTTTGAGTTTCCACCACTCAGCCCGTGCTTGCAGCGAGAAGGACCCCGGTGTCTAGGCGGGCTCTTACCGGCGAAGCGGATCTTCACGAGGTCGAGCGGGTGCAGCGCGAGGTTAGACAAGACCCCGCCGCTCACACCAGCTACCAAGTTCTCATACCGGACGTGGCGGAATACCGTGCTCCACGCCGACGACCCGGGCGCCGACTGGCCCTGACAGTTCATAGGCTCGGGGCCCGACGAAACCACGGCGCCCAGGGCCGCGGAGGTGGAACGAGATGCAGTGGCCGCCACTGTGGCGACGGTCGCCGCCCGGGAGCAGGAACCGTAGGGCACGAGCCCACTTCCGGGACTGGCGAAAAAGCTCCGACGGCCGGGTAGCGGGAACAGAGCCCGGAGACCTTAGTGCGGAGGGGCGTGAGGGGGCACGGCCACACGTCAAGCCGGTGGAGGGCGTGACGGAGGCGGGTTGCACGCCTCCACCTAGTGCCCGCCCTACCTCCCCGGCTGAAGCAGCATGCTTGAGCCAAAGGACGTGGACGAAAACAACAGCTCAAGAACCGCCCCCTGCCAACCTTTGCCGGCACTACTACGGAGCGCCGCGGGATTCAGCTGAGCCCCGCTGGCAGACTCGAGGTGGTATCACGTGACAGGAAGTAGTCTGCGAGAGGCGGAAGTGGAGTGTGCGGGAGGAGGCGGTGATACTGACCGGACTGAGAGGCTCGTGGAGTCCGAGAGGTAGAGCCGCCAAGATGAAAGTGAAGATGCTGAGCCGGAATCCGGACAACTACGTACGCGAAACCAAGTTGGATTTACAGAGAGGTGAGGGAAGGTGATTGGGAGGGGCGTCTTCTGCCAGGCTTAGGTTCGGCCTCCACTTCCTTGAAGTAAACGAGTGGGGAGACCAGCACTTCGGTTTGGTTGTTTTCCCAGGTTTCTTTCGCCCAGGGGAACTTTGGATAGTGTTGTTGCGGAACTGGGCAGCGGGTATGTTTTTTAAAGTCCTTTTTTCCCCCCTAAGAATTTTTAGCGGTAACTGGGAGTTAGCAATAGGGGGAAATGCTTCCGCCTCCGCAGGTTTCTGTTGTTGAAAAGTGGAACTTGAATGAGCCACACTCGTGTATTGAAGGATTTAAGGATTAAACAGGCTTCTTTAAAGCTTTCCAGCTTCTGTAGTCATTTTATTTCCACTTAAAATTACTTCTGCTTATGGAAAGAAACAGATGGGTTTTAAAACTATCAATTTTCGCTTACCAAACCATCCCTGTGAAAAGTTTAAGGGCAGAAAGGGTAAAGTGAAATTAGTAAGTTTTATTTATAATTAACGACCTGTTCGCTCATTAACATGTCGACCGCTTATGAACTGTGATTTTGTTTATGAAACCTAAATGACAAGAGACCAAGCTTGTGTGGACAGACCATTGTAAGTGAAGAGAATAATACCTGCAAAGGCTAGGGCTGTGCCTTCTTTCTCAGGCATAGAAGGAAGGGCCAGGTCTTTGGAGTTCGAATGAGGGATAAGCGATTAAAAATGAGGCTGGAACAATATTTCACTTATGATTAATAGAGATTTGCCAACATATTTATGAGCATTGCTAAGATGTAAGTGTAAGGGTAAGTAACAAGACGGGGATATTCCCTAAAATGCAAATTAGATTTGTCCTTCAGACTTGACATCATCCACAGTCATTGAACCTCTGGTCCCTACTTCATCTCCAGTTTCACCAATCACTACTTTTCCCACTAGTAGCTTATATTCATCCTTGCCAACATGAGTGCATTTCAGGCATTCTCTTTCAGATTTCCTATGGCACACACCTTTCCCAGTTAAGCTGCTCTGTCTGGGAAGCTTTCTTTGAACAATAATTTTGCATATTTATTCCCTGCACGGACTCACCTCCACTTCAGTAGCCCTCTTTTATGACATTTTAATACTTTTGTCAGTGTTTATCATAATGTCTTGTGGTTATTACTTTGGTGAATTGTTTTTCCCATCAGACTATACTTGCAAATAGAGGGAAAATCTTTTTTGGTGTTCACTGTTTAAATAATAACCTGGTACATAGTAGATGCTTTATGAATGTCTGAATGAATGAATGAATGAATGATTGAATGGGCAGGTAACTGGTCATAGAATCTCAGTGTTAAGATGTTCTTATTCATCTAATCTTGTTATTAAGGTATTTTTTCCTACATTTCCCTATTTATACTTCCTGATGGAAATAACAATAAATGGAAAGATAGAAGTTTTGGAGCTCTGTAAAACAAAACAAGAAAGACATTTATTGTCTTTATTCCATTTTTATCTTAAGTGTTGTTTTCTTTAAAATTTTACAGAATATTCAAGAATTGGGGTAAGCATTGGGGAATATGTTTTCTAAAATCCTATGGCAATTCTGATGCAGCTGGTTAATATGTGTGAGAACCCCTTACATAAGTATATGCAATGAGATCTGGGGATGTAGCTCAGTGATAGAGTGCTGGTCTAGCATGCACAAGGCCCTGGGTTCAATTCCCAGCACTGCAAATATATAATAAATGCAGTGAGTTTATAAATTATTTTGTCTTCAGTGCTGGTGATGTATGGTAGGTCCTCCATCAATATTAATTGAATGTTTCTTATTGACTGGATTATGAATTTAGGGGTGGACAAGATGTTATCTGAAAAACTTATAGAAGCCATAAGATTTGAATAGAATCTAAGGGGTACATAGGGCTTAGATGGGCTAGAATGAAAGTTGGAGTAAATTCTTGTTGGAAGCCATAGTGTGTGGAAGAATTCAAGAGTGGAACAGTACAAGACAATTTTAAATGACAGTGGGTAAACGTGTTGTCTGGAACTGAACTTCAGAAGGAACTTGAAACCAAACAGGTAGATTTGGGCCAGATTGTAGAAGACCAGAAAGGAAACTGGAACTTCTGGTCTTCTAGAACTTTATTCTATAGGTCATAGATCTCTGAAAATGGATGTTTGGGGAGGGGCATTTATTACAGTGTGGAAAAAAAACAATTGGAACTTCAATTTATTTCCAATCTTAAAAAACGAATGAATTTTTATTTATATAATATTTGGATTGATAGGGACGATCTTGTTTCAGCCATGTTAAAATAGTCACATACTACATAATACATACATATTCATATATCCTGAGGAGTGAAGGATTGACAGAGCAATATTTCTAGCTTCAGCATTTTGCAGTTTATATCTATTGGGGGATTATAACTTCTAAGTGATGAAAGGACCATGAAAATCTTTTCATGTAGAAGTTCCTTGGTTTTATTATAGCAAAGTTCTTGAAAGAGTTATGGAACATACAGTGAATTAAGCATTTCTTAAATTTGGCAGGCTTCTGTGCTTATGAATGTGAAGTAGGAGGCTTTTTAAAGTTTTTCTTTTTTAGAAAAAAAGTGTAACAATCCTGATATTGTCTTGTACCAGACTAGAACCTTTTAATCTATCACAGTGTTCAATTGTATTCAAATTTTTAACCATTTTTAATGATGAATGGCAAAATGACTTCAAAAAAGACTTGTAATATGTAGATATTATTTTGATGATGTATGCTTGGAAATATATCCACCATTTAAAAATTTTTATACTGAAAATGATGAAAGTGTTATCTATAAATATTCATTTTGCCTTTGAAAAATTTTGGAAACAATGATCTTTTTGTTGTTGTTTTTGAAACTGTTGAAATAGCAGTTTTGTAGGAACAACAGCTGTTGACATCAGAGGAGGTAGAACTTTTTGGGGGGTATGGGAATTAAACTCAGGGGCACTGAGCCACATCCCCAACCCTATTTTGTATTTTATTTAGAGACAGGGTCTTACTGAGCTGCTAAGCACCTCACCGTTGCTAAGGCTGGCTTTGAACTTGAGATCCTCCTGCCTCAGATTCCCAAGCAACTTGGATTACAGATGTGTGCCACTACGCCTGGCTAGGTAGAACTTTTTAAAACATGCTTCAGAAATAGACTTTGCAAAACTTATGGATAGAACTGAAAATTAAATATACTAAATGAATGTAGCCAACTGTAGACTTCTGTTTGGATCTCCTTACCTTTGTGAAGTACAGGCAGTCCTCACTTTCCACAATGCTGTATTAACTGAACCAGTTCTCCTCTTTGAGACATTCTCAGTGACTGAAGTCACAGGTATTACCATGGGAATGTGCCACACAAGGAATTGGTTCCAGGATGTTTTCAATGTCATTAATATAGTATTGTGCAGAAGTGTCTGAGTTCTTTTCAACTATGTAGCCCTTAAAACCAAATGCTGAAACAAATTGAGATTAGACTAGAACCTTTTAATCACAGTGTTTAATTGAAGTTTATTTTTAAATTTAATTATTAGTGCATATTGATTGTGTGAATTAGTGGATTTCATTGTTAGGTTTCCCTCCATGCATGTAACATGATTTGATTGTATTCAACTCCCTACTAACCTTCATCCCCTTCCCTGAAAATTCCCCTTCTTCTTTCATGTGATTTTGTGTTTTTTTTTTTTTAATTTGTTTGTTTGTTTTTTAGATTCCACATGAGAGAAAGCATGTGATACTTGTCTTTGTAAGTTTGGCTTATTTTACTTAACGTGATGCTCTCTAGTTCCCACCATTTTCCTGCAAATGACATGATTTCATTCTTTATGGCTGCATAGTACACCAAATAAATATTCCTGGTACTCTCTTGTGTATATATATCACATTTTCTTTATCCATTTATCTGTTGATGGTCTTTTAAGATGATTCCATGACTTGATTATTGTGAAAATGCTCCATTGAACATGGGTGTGCAGGTATCTTTTTTATATGCTGACTTTAATTCCTTTGGGTATATGCGGAGAAATGGTATAGCTGGAATGTATATGTTCTATTTTTAGTTTTTTGAGGCACTTTCCTATGGTGTTTCATAGTGCCTGCATTAATTTACTTTTCTACCAATAGTGTATAAGTGTTCCTTTTCCCCTTGCATTCTCACTAGCATTTGTTATTTTTATTTTCTTGATTATAGCCATTTTGACTGGGGTTAAGAAAGAATCCCAGGGTAGTTTTGATTTGCATTCGCCTTTAGCTAAAGACATTTTCCATGTATTTATTGGCCATTTAGTTTTTCTTTTGAGAAGTATCTGTTCAGTTCACATGCTTATTTGTTGATTGGATTATCCGTTCTTTGGAACTTTTTTGAATTCTTCATATATTTCAGATATCAAGCCTATGTCTGAATAGCTGGCAAGATTTTCTCACATTCTGTAGGCCGTCTTTTCACTTTGTTGATCGTTTCCTTTGCATCCTTTGCAGTGAAGAAGCTTTTTAATTTGACGTAATCCCATTTGTCAGTTCTTGCCATTAATTCCTGAACAACTGGAGTCCTATTTAGAACTTCACTGAATCTTGAAGTATTTGTCCTATGTTTTCCTGTAGTAGTTTGGGGTCTTACATTAAGGTCTTTTTGAGTTGATTTTTATATAGGGTAGAAGGGATCTAATTTCAATCTTTTTTTAACAAGTGTATGCCCAGTTTTCCCATACCATTTGTCAAAGAGGCTATCTTCTCCAAAG